AAAATATATCGATCAGAAACTTGTGAACCATCTACAAGTCAATTAACTACTTCAGAACTCTCTACATCAGTTCAAGATGAACCATTATGTCTTACTCCAAAAAGACATTTGTGTTTTAAAAGTGCTGAAGAAGAATATTCATTAATCTCCACTCCTTCTAAATGTAAAATAACAATATCACCTTATCGAAAAACAACTCCTTCAAAATTAGTACTTAAAAATAAAATAATAAAGCAAGCTAATACAATTAAATTATTAAAGCAACAAATCAGACGTAAAGATATTAAAATTAATACTTTAGCAGGTCTTTTAAAGTTACTAAAAGACAAAAAAGTATTAAACATGGAATCTGAAGAACTTATGTTAGACAAATTTGGCGTACTCTCTCAAGAACTATTTTCCAACATTCATAAAAATCAAAATATCGAACCAAAAGGTAGACGTTATAGTAAAACTATAAAAGAATTTTCGCTTACATTGAATTACTATTCTCCTAAAGCTTATGAGTATGCACGGTTAGTTTAGTTCTTATTAGTTCTTTTAATAATGCTTTTACTATAGTAATACTGATACTGATAAGTAAGATATTTATTATGTTTACAGGTCAATATTAATGCTTCCTCATGCAAAATCCATAAGAAACTGGACATCTTCATTAAATTGCGAACCTGGATTTTTGCAAGAAGTACTGGATTCTCTACAAACATTGGATGAAAATGATAAGCATTGTACTCATAGAAAAGTAAGTAGATAGAAAGCGCACTCGTGGGAATAGGTTTGTTGATATGTTTGAGAGATACTAGCGCTCCAGGTTGTCGCTTTTTGTATTTCATATAAATCGTATACACAATCGATATGAACAATCGATTTACTTAAGAATCGATATCTAGTGTCGATTAATTATATTATAATTATATAATATCTATTTAAATTTTAAAATAAAAATACCTACACGATTTTGTAAAATTACAAATTATTGCTTGATTTGTGAATAAATAAAAACCAGTTGAAATTTTTATATTAATATATTTATTTTAACTTACAAAGAGTAAATACATCTTTATACTAGAATAATATCCTATTAATTTAGTAATGGCATATCAAATGTCAATTAGTAGAATTTAGAAAATCAAGTTTAAATAAATATTGATATGAGTAAATTAAATAGAAATAAAAAGTGAATTGATTAATAAATGTAGTTATTTAGGTACATATGTTATTATACAAAATTTTTATTACAGTTCTTTAATATTTTTTGTTTCTTAAGTTTAAAATGTTTATAGTAATTGGCAGCAAGAATAAATATGTCATCTGGTTCAGAACAAAGGTTTTGAATCTTATCCCCTTTCAGAATTCTATTAATATTTGTAATATAAGAAAAAATTAAAATTTTAAATGCATGATTCAAGAACAATTTTTTGGTATTATGGGAAAGACATAAAGAAGGAAATTTAATTTTAGAATCAACAAAATTTAAAAAATTTAGTTTTATATTTGGTTTTGTTATGAAAGTATGGATATGAGAATTGAATTCATTTATAAAAATAGAATAAATGTTAACTGAAATTACTGATGGACATTGAAGATTACAATTTTCATACTGTCTAGTTTTTATTATGTCTTTGTGTTTGGAATAATTTTTTGAAATCAGAATTTCCAAACAAAATTTACAATTTTTTGTAAGTTTTTTAATTTTATTAATAACAGCTCCTGCGACATACGATTGACAAGCTAAAGCCAGTTTAGAATTTGTTTTCTGATTATTATTATTTTCAATTGTGTGAATGCTAGAAGATACAAATGGTAATTTTGAAGAATTTAATGAAGAAGATGAACACAATAATTTTTTAAAATTTGTCAAATTTTCACAGTTATCATTCTCGCAGTTAGCTCCCACACTTTGGGAAGACATTAAACTATTTATGACGAGTGATTTAAAAGATGACTGGAAATTAGAACATGTTGGATTAGTATTACGACAGCCATGGCTTCTTATTTTACAAAATAAATTTTCTACGGGATCTTGATTAAAGGATCTCAATGTTATAAATTTGAAACCACTATCCAAAAGTTTTTTACACACATATTGGAATCCTTTGATAGTGGTAACCCAGTTTTTAATAGTGGGTACACTAACAGATGAAAATTTCATGCTTTCTAAAATTTGTATAGCTTCATTCCAAAACTTCCAATGTGCAGATGTAGAAAAAACAGCACCTCGCAATTCTTTGCCTGGCAAAACTGAAGTGGAACTGCTGTTAACACTGTCAAAAAGCTTGTCTATGAACAAACAAAGTTTTGCAGTATCTGCAGCTGCTATATTTAGTTTGTCCTCTTGTTCACCTGAAATCATTTATAACTGTTAACTATAATATTTTTAAATATTTTAATAGTATGTATAACAAATACTCACCGGCCCATTCAGATAACATTAGCATAATGGAGCCTACTCGTTGACTGAACACCTGAGCAGCCACTGATACTTTCATTTTTTTTAATCTATCTGGGTAGATATGGGAATCGGTCAGTTTAGGTGCCATTCGTTCTCCTATGTCAAGCCTTAATTTATCTATTTCATAAAATTGTATAATATGACTCCATTTAGTAATTTTTTTTTCTCCATTCATATAGAATAATAAATCTTTTGTCACAAGATTATTTCTTACACCCTTTAAAAGGTGTGGTGGATCATACAATGGCACAATTTCTATTCCATCAATCTCAAACCCAAGAGTTTTTTTTTCTATACCTTTTCTAGTGTAGTTTTCAATGGTTTCTTTATGAAGTATATTAAGTGCAGCTACATTGGTCGGAGCTTGATCACAAACTGTAGCGATTATTTTTAACCCAGTCGCCTGAACTGCTCTTATAGTCTCTTTAAGAGCAACAACTAAATCAGGAGTTTTCATTCCACTTTCAGTAAAATAAAAGGAAATAGATTGTTTAAATTTTCGTTTTATTCCACGAACCATAAACACTAGTGCTTTATCAGCAAATTTAAGTTTTCGATTGTCATTACCCAAATCTTGGAATCCAATTATTTTATCTTCAAGTTCACAATACTGGGTGCCAGCCGCCAATGAAACTTCATCAAATAGAAGGACACAGTGTGTATCTAATTTGTTTTTAAAATTACCAACGGTTTCTTTTAAATGATTAATAATTTGATCATTTACACCGGGTTCTAGTTGCAGTTGACGTAGTAAGTCCATAAGGGTTTTACGAGATGGTAAAGCAAATGTCTTGGATAGTAGACGATAAGTTTTTGCACTCGATTTAAATAACGATAAAGCAAAAATCTTATCATCAATTGAAAAACGTCTTCCTCTTGGTGAAATATACTGTGATTTTAGCTGAGTTTTAAAGAAGTTGATTGAAGTTTCATTCATCTTAGATATTAATAAACCATGCTTCTTTATAAAATTCCTAGCTTCAACTAATTTTTTTTTAGTTACTAGATGTCTTCTATTTATGACACATAAAGATTTTTTAAAATCAACTATCACTTTGTGTAAATATTTCTTTCGGGGAGTGATATTTTTAATACGTGTCATGTTAATTTCTTTTAAGCATCCTTTGCTTTTAACACGGGAGCCTAGGAAAAAAGTTTAATGCATACAATTAAGATACTAACACGTAAGCCAAATATGATGAAATATACCTCTTTTTGACTGAGTTGTTAAACAATTTAAGTAGGAAATCCCTTGAAGATCACTGTCATTGAGGTTAATTGAACAATTAATATTTACATGACTGTTTCTACCAATTTCTGATGGTTTCACCTTTTCATCAAAAACTTCAACTAATTAACAAAAATAAAAATAATATTAATAAACATTAAACAAAAAATGTTAACAAATTTTGACTCAATATTCTCAGTAATCAGTATGAAATATAAATTTTAAATACCATGAGCTATACTGCCATCAAAGTCTAATGAACAGATTTCCACAGTACTGTCATTTCTTGGTG